TCCCGCCATTATTTTATTCGGTTCGGAGACATTTCTGAAGAAAACCGATGCCGTGGCATTGAATCGAACCTGGTTACTATCAGCAAAGCTATGTATTGGATCCTCGGTTTTTCCAATAAGTCTTTGATATACAATAAAAGAGGGTTGGAGAAAATATGGCTCCTTGGGGAACAACAGCGTTGATGTTAAAAGTATTCGAGAGATATCCATCGACGGCCACTTGCAGGGAACGTTCTTTCAGGAAGCTGAAGAGTCATACACAAAAATGATCCGACAAGCCATAGCATCGAAGGTCACCTGTTGATCTTTGTTTCCGAAATCCATATTGATGATCGCTCATGATGTTAAAACCTTTCAAATATTCAAGGATGATTATGACATCAACGAATAAACTAAAGCATCTGAGAGTAATGGTGGAAATATAAATTATACTCCAATCGATTGATTATTTGAAGTCTAAAATAATATTGATTTGAGTCAAGCAGGAAGTGATGTGTATTATTTAATTATACAATTACAGTAACTTCCATGATGTAGTTTTTGCAGCAGAGGACAGTGGTGTTGATTGCTCTAGCAACAGATGATAAAGACTTTTTTAATCACTCGAAATTGGGCTTCACCAAGTTTATTTCACCAAAAACATGTTATACAAATAAATTATACAGCGTGACTCACGGTTGATGGTTGGTTAGATGTTTGTGGTAAACACAACGCAGGATCTTTCTGAAAATTTTACATATTACATTTCCTTACCTGTTCTATCGATCTAAAATATTTTCAGCATTGCGGCGTTGCCACTTCTGTCAAAGTTTTAGCAACTTTTTTTTTCAAAAAGAACACCCCGAATATTAACACATTTTTGGAATCGCTCTTTTATTATACTACTTTTTTGTACATAATGTCTCCTATACCTCTCTATCGGTTTTCGAGAAAAAAAATAATTTGTTCTAAATATGGTCGAATACATAGCCCTAATTGAACTCAAGTACATCAGTATTCTAAATTCATGAAAAGTTAATATTTTGATGATAGTTTGAACAAACTTGAAATATTTATTTAATACCAAGAAATCGCTCCATATCATACAGGGTGTGTTGAAATTACTATTATTTCCATTATGCATGGCAAGTGGTCAGAAGTTCATTTTTTCAAGTGAAACCCCCTGTATATTACTGTACATTTTTATTTACACAACTACCAAAAACTTGCTATAAAAATGTTTATAGCCTCAGATTCAGAGTACAAGAAAATGAAGGTTTTTTTTAGATAATACTGAATTAACAATTCAATTCAGTACTATCAGTAATTGTAAGACTATTTCCAAGCAAACATGCTTTATTTACCTGTAAAAAAAACGCAAATATTTACAATGTAAATACGCAGAAAATCTTCTTTCGAAACTAATATCAACATGTTCTTGTATTATATGTTTGTTAAATTGACCTGAGAATCTAGATGGATACTTTTTGTTAGACTACTATGTATACAAGTGTGTATGTTGGTGCGTGTGCTTATGCGTATATGTAAAATTATTATTTACAGGGTGAGTCAACAAGATTCCCTCGGTTCGTTGCTAACAGGAAAAATAATGTTTCGAATTGCTCAATTTTTTTCGCAATCGTATCGATAGATACTAAAATGATTTTCTCGCAGCCGAGCGTGGCCAACCAAAGTTATATTTTTTTAAATGGAACACTTAGTACATGAATACATCATTCGATTCCATATTTTTTTAGCTCTCTAAGGAATTTTTGTTTTCGAATTTCTATTGCGGTATGGCCAAGTTATTCCAGAAAAACCTATTTTGCAGACAATATTTTTTTTAATTCACCACTTGCATGTCTTCAACAATTAAGTGTATTTTTTCAGGAATAGTTATTCAACATCACTATGATAATTTCCGGAATCTCAACTTCCAGAAAGAATATATAGGGTTCTCGGTAAAACCGGTCATGTTTCATTCATTTTCAAACAGACATAATTCAACTGTTTCAAATGGAGCACCCTATATTTTCTCATTTGTATTAAATGCATCAACATTTCACTACATTTTTTATCACAGGTATACTATACGAACAACTGCTATTTTACAGATTACACACAGTTTTATTAATTGTTGTAACCACAAAAAATTCATTTATTCACGTTCACTTACTCAATTTTTTTTTCAATATGAACAATAACGCCTACATTTTTTATTGAATAGAGAAGTTCAAAACATGTTCAAAATGGCGACAATTTTCTGCAACAGGCGGCATAATGTCAGGGATCTCCCTGAAACCTCTGGTGATTCTTCGTTTCATGTCTTCTATAGAAGTTGGAGGCGTTTGGTAGACAATCCATTCGATACACCCTCATAAAAAAAATCATTTCGGTCAGGTCCGATGATCTGGGTCGCCACGTCACAGGTCCACCCCTACCTTTCTTTTTTTGATTGAAATGATCGTTGAGGTATTCCCGTATCCCACTTTCAAAATGTGGTGATGCACCGTCTTGTTGTTGCCACATTTTGAGTCTTGTTCCATATGGAACCCCGTCCAATATATTCGAAGAAATCTTACATATTTTCTTCCGGTGAGATGCCCATCCAAAATATATGGACCGATAACTCTTTTTTCGGGGTTCCACCCCAAACATTCAGTTTGCTGCCTGATGGTTCAGGCAACGGACGAAAGGGGGTTTTCCGTTGCATAATAATGCATGTTTTGCCGATTCATAGTTCCATTTCAATGAAAACCTTCATACTGCTGGTGGCTCCGTGCATTTGTATTTCTATCTTTTGGTAACCAAGTGTTGCCATCCTTACACTTGGCTGCACCATACTGATGATGGGCCAAAAGCCCGAAACACGTGTCTATGGTTTGATTAACGAGGT